AAAGTAAATAAATATGTAAGAGAAAAAAAAAAACATTCCCGACCCTCTATACTTACGTATGTTCAAAGAATAGAAGAGCTTTCAAAGGGAATAAAGTCAAATTAGATTAACAAAAAAAAACGTAAATAAAATGTGCAGTAGAACTTGTTTATGCGGACCACTTCTGGGACCAAGGATTGGGTTTCCATTGACTCAAAAATAAAACGTCGGACCGTGAAACAAGCAATAATTTAGCTTCTATTATTGTTTATTTTACTGTGGTCGCAAGTTCTACTGCAGTACTTTGTGCAAACCAAAATAAACTATAAAAAAAACATGAAAAAATAAAATTATTTTTCTATATTGTACATTTACTATAACAGTACAAAAAAAATAATAATAATAATGCAAAATACAAGTATTTCTCATTAACTCTCTTTCTCTTTTTAACTTTAAAAACATTGAATTTTATAATAAAAAGTAACAAAACGTCAAAATAAATACAAAGACTACAAAAAATTAATTATATGTAAATCAAGTACAGAACAGAAAAAAAAAGTTATATCTATCTATATATAGCAAAATACATTTGAATATTGGAATGAAAAAAAAATATACTATCAAATAATATTAAACAAATATAATAATTAATATAAAAAGAAAACAAACAATACACATATGCTTGTTGAAAATATCTAATTTAATCCGGTCACAAAACTATAATGACAGATTGCACTTTTCTTGTCGAGACTATTCTAGCTTTCCTAAATGAGAGTAAGGGTATTGGTTATGCGAAAGCATGCAATGCAAGTATTATAGCTGTGCACCAAAAATTTTGTAAATTTATATCCCCATATATATATATATAGTTCTTGTGTTTTTTTTCTTTGTGTATGTGTATATATATATATATATGTTTGTGTACTTGTGATGTGAGTTAGTTGGAATTATTAGAATACTGTACTGCTATAGAATGGAATTACAAAATACGTTTTTTTTTATAATGCAAATATATGGGAATACAATTTGAGACGAAAATGTTTTTTAAACAAAATTGGACTAGAAAATAATCGAAAAAATTTATGTCCCATATACCGTTCATTGAAAGTAGAAAATCGCAATATATATAGACTGTAGTATGTTATTGTTCGGTAACAACATGAGTATGTTTTAGTTTCTTGTTCTTGCTCTTGTAAATGTTTATATATAAAATATATAAAAGAATACTGGTACACTAGTTATCACAGGGAGGAGGAGGCGATAAGCGTTTATCTGTATTAAAGCTATTAAACTTAATTAAAATAAAGAATAAAAAATCTGCCAGATTTCTTCGATAGTATTTACCTGAATGATTTCCACGCCGGCAGGCAAATCCACATTATTGGTAGAAGGCGGTGGGCCCACATCAATCTTTTTCCCGTTGTGAAGGCAATGCCTGTAAAAGCATTTGTTTCCGAATGGGCAATGTCCTCTGCCGTGCTTAAAGTATTTACAGTCTTTCCTGGACAAGACCAATTTGTACTTCTCGATAACCTTATCCTTGTCCTCCTTTGTATCGACCCAGTACGCACTTGGACAGACAAAATCGGATGGAATGCGGCACTCGGGACATGACCTGAAAATACACCAATTTACACATGTCCCATCTCAACCGGCCTTCTACTACTCTTCTACTATATTCAAACCCAATCCTTGGTTTGCGATCCACACTAGGACCCGCACCACTATCGAAATAAAATTTATGAAATAGTTGCCCTTACTAACTTTTGATTAGAATGCAATCACCTAAGCAAACAAAGTATATTATCATATAGTATATATACAATGTACATTAGTAAATTCAATATTTCACAAGTTTTTTTTTATACTGCAATCCACTTTCATGATTTTAAATATTCCAACGTTATAACTCTATATTCAACTTATATACAAATACACAAACCTGGATACTTTAATTTATTAAATTTACTTATTTAAATCACTGTTCTTTCTTACACTTTTTTATGATTATTTGTATTATTTTATAATTATTGTAATTCGAAATCTGCAAAAATGATAAATTTAAGCTTCCAAAATGCAACTATAGAGGGAGGAAATAATACTAAGAAGATTGGCTCCTTCAAAGCAAAGTTAATAAATATGGGTGCAAATATGTGACTAATACTTTCATTTAAATGATGAGCTAATGTTAGCAGTTAAAATCAAGTAAATGTCAATATATTTGAATCCTGACATTGCATTTCATAAAAGCAATTGTTAATGAAAAGTAAACTACGACAAAAGCAAAATAGAACATCCGGTAAAAAGTGGAAGTGAGGAAAGTTTTGCTTGATGTGCCAATAAAATTGATCATATTTCTTCATAATATGATTTCTCAAGAACGTGGTGATGTGCAAGTTTGCTTTTGACTAGTAGTAAGTTAATATACAGTACGATCTATTACCTGATAATCTTGTGTTCAAATTGTTTGGACTGTCTCCATCTACGGATGCATCCAAGGCAGAAGCAATGATTGCAGCTAGGTAAGATTCCGAACCGCTGCTCATCAGATGTCTTCTGCATGATTACTTCAAAACAAATGCCACATACTTTCTCCTTCGATAGAGCAACAGCGAACGATATTTCCATATCGCGTTCGTGACGTTTTATACATTCTTGTGTATGTTTTTTGCGAAGATCTTCGTTGTACGGATGCAGGGCCGGTCTTGTACATAGATCACACATGTCTCCATGCAAGTACGTGCATTCACCTGGTGGATACTTGCATAGGCCATCGCGTTCTGCATATGGGCATAGACGTTTTTTGCTGTTATTTGTAATATTAAATCTTGTACGCGGTATGAATTCCGGTGCATCAATGTTCAGTCTGCCCAAATTCTTTTGGTTCTCTGTAAGCAGTTGATCGTAGATGCTCTGTGGTCTCACGAGAGCCGTGGCTCCCAAGCACGAGTCGTCTTCGTCATCGTTGGATGTGGACGCGCTGCTTCTAAAATTCGAGGTTGACGGTACTGGGTTTCTGCAATCACAAACGTTCGATCACTTTCAAAAGTTTTACTTCTGTTACACGCAATAACGATTGGCCACATACCAAAGCATTTTGTTAATGATGTGTTTTGTTAAGATGATTGTTAATTATTAATACTAGTCATTTTAATGCGATTGATTACTTTTGCTTGCTTGCTTTATTAATGTTTAAGGCGCGGACATTTTTTTTATGTCTCGTAATCTAGTTAAACCTTGGTTATGGTTTAACCAGGTTCATTGACCAAGGCTACATCAGAACGCTCTTCAATGGCATTTTTTTAACCAAGGTTGATTTGCAGTGGTGGTGCATGTGGCAAAACCGGAAGTTTAAATTGCATTTATCCACAACATGATGAAATTACTTAAGCCGCATCCTTTGACACAGCCATTCCAACTATACTACTTCAATTAAATACAATACATATTAAAAATGCATTGTCTGGACTTCAAGAAATTGTTACTGATGCCAACAACAAAATAACCTCCGGGCCATAATAAACGTTACATTTTAAATAGTTAGATTAGTACTGTTATGTGCGTCATGTGAGCCGAAAACACATTACGTTGCTACGAATTTAATACCGTAAATATCTTAATTTCCCCCGCGGCATTTTTTTTATATAAAGACATTTGCAAAAAAAAACAAGACAATCTGACTATTTAAGGATCAATGACATCTAAAATTATTAACGTTCATAAAAAAAACAAATAAAGGTACTACTACTACTACTACTACAAATAAAAACATTGAACTATAGTTGTAAAGTCGGCTTTGAATTGAAATGTGATTTAATTTTATAAAAAAACAAATAGTTCTAAAATTCATACAAAACAATACAAAAGCACACAAGAAACTGTTTAAACCAAACGAATCTTCCTATTCTTAGGAAAGAACAATATTTATTCGCAATAAAATATACAAAATGTAACGTGGCTGAAAGCTTCAGTCGGCTTTATTCTAATTTACCTTATAATGAAATAATTATTTCCCACAAACAAACAAAGTTAATACTACTAAATTATTTACATTGACTTCTTTTTGAAAACCATGCATTTCGAGCAAGAAAATTTTAATAGAGGAATAATACTTGAGCTAACAATAACAGTGATGTAATATGCATTTACAATTCATACATTTAAAGTTAATTATATAATTGTAAAAATATATTATAACAATTACATGCACAGTGTATTCATTATAACATAGCTACCGACATTTTGTGTAATGTGTGAATCTGTGTAATTGATTTTAAAATTATAAAGATAATATTTTATAATTAGAAATTTTTGCTATTTTAGAATATTACAGATCTACTAAAAAATACTGCTAGTATATCTAAATTTGTTCCTAACCTAGGTAAAAGTAATTCTAAATTTCTACATCACATTTTGTACAAACTATATTTTAATAACTTGAATTATCTAAATATGATTTACATAGATAAATATATTTCGTTAAAATCGTTCTTTAGTTAAAACATGTTTTCAACAGTGATTGATAGGCAAATATAAATATAACGTATTATGACTGTGAATGCCAGAGAAAACAAAAGTAATCAAATACAAAAAAGTTTCAATTGAAATTAGCAACAAAAACCAAGAACTGTAACTGACCTATTAATTTCAGCATATCTACTGTATCCTGCATGTACGTAAATGCAATTGTTCCCAAATGGGCAAGTCCTCCCATTAACATAGTAGTAGCAGGGCAACTGAGAGTAGCAACTTCTACTTCTTGTACTTGTAACAAAAATGTTAGCCTGCTGTTCTGCAGAACTACTTATCCTAAAGCCAGCAACAAAAGATGAACCATTTGGTAATGAGTCTTCAATTTGAACATCTGACCATTTAGCATGTACAAATAGGCAAGTGTCATTTCTATCACACTTCCGCTCTATAAGATACCTGAAAATGTTGAAAATTATGAGTTAATACACTTGCAAGTCCAAAGACATAGCATTATTTTTTTTGTTTGTTTTCTGATTGTTATTGTAACTGAATCTGAATTTTGTCTTTATTACGACTGTCAATTTAACTAGTGGTTTTGTTTTCCATTTGTCTTAAGCTGACACCATGCTGTTTTTATATTTAAATTATATATCTATGTTTTGCTTAAATTATTAACTTTGGTTTTACATTGTATGCCATTGTTTTAAATGTGTTCTTTAGTTAGTTAAATACTACAAATTTGATTTGTAGCAATAGTAAATAATGTTTTAAAAAACTTCGTTTAAAAACATGTTTTTATCTGAATGCAAGTATGAGTTGATTAACAGAAGCAGGAACGAATATGTATGCATATATATACACATGTAAGTATATATATGTGCATATATATAACAAGTGTGTTTTTTTCGTTCACCATGATGTGTTTAATTGAGGGCTGCAGACAAATAGTAAATGTGTAAGGTCATAGCTGGGAAGAGAAAACGAGTGAGAAAACAAAAGTGGGCGATTGGTGAAAACTGCGTTATGCTGTGTGATTGCAGAATGGTATAAATTTGGCGATACAACTTACTGAGTACAGTATAATCCATACTGCGCCATGTTGGATCTGGGTCTGGAGGAAAATAAACCGACTACGCCAGTCTTGTTAGGCTTCTGCATAGGTCACAGCGGGTCACTTAGCGCTCGTTATTATTCCAGGAATATTCAATATGGTTATGCCGTTTTTCGATCAAACACTTTCAACAACACCGCTACGAGAGCTCGTAAACAACTGCTCCTGACCACACAGTTCGTAGCGTAGCTCAACAAAAATCCGCGTCAATTATATCTGGGCTCTCAACAGACACACCGTACTGTCGCTCATGCGTATTTCTTCTTACACTTCAAGCCGATACCAACGCAATGCGAAGAAAGAAAGACCATCTGCAATTCGCAAGGAAGACACAACCATCCGTTGATACTAACACCTGGATACCTGCATTCGAACAAAGCCTTTCCCTCAAAAAAAAACCCATAATAAATGACAGCCTAGAACCAATGACAAACCTAAAACCGTATACCGATAATTCCACTAAACGTTGGCAACGTATGCCGGCCTTATTTACATGACTCTCACATTTCAAACCATTCCACCCTCTTCAAACATTAGTAAAACCTAGCTCCACTCAATAATAGCTCAAGGGCATCAGAAGGAAGCGTAAACATCCGCAGCCCGGACCTGTGATCCATGAAATTCGTGTTACTATTAATCCAACGTTGCACTTTTTAAGAATTGCATTAATGATTTTTTTTTGTTGTTGTTGTAAAGAAATGCATTTGTTTATTTTGCAACATTGAAACACATATATTGATCTACATTAGTTGCATCTTTGTACGGTCTGTTTCCAGTTCCGATAAATAACCGGGCAAAGGTGATTTCACTCAGCTGCTTTTGTAGATTTTTGAGGCGCCGAAAAGGTTGAAGCAATTTGCTTCTTCGCGCTTATTTTTGTCTATCTTCTAGCAGATAATACAATTTGCTTTTTAGTGTTTATCATAGATATTCCGTATGGGAGTGGGAAATCGCTTTAAGATAATACAACACTATTGGAAATTTCATTTGAATTCTCGTTGTCGGAGAGCAATTGCAATGATAGATATAACCTAGTAACTATAGTCATGCACATTACAATCATGCAATAAAATCAATTTAGACTTTAATAGTCGGCGGAGATACTTATTTCTGCATCGTTCATTAAATGCGCATTCAACTACTCGTATTTCCTGTGCTATATTTAATTTTCATAACAAATATATTTTTATTTCTCAATTATTCATAATTAAATAATTACTATAATTAGGTTCACTTTATTGCAATTCATTAAAACAAATCTATTTTTGTTTGAAAATTCTTTAAAAACAATATTTAGTTGATTTTCATTCTAATGTTTTACATAATCTACACAATTGTAATGGTGGCCAATTATATAAAGTATGCGTTTATTTAAACGTAAAGTAAACACTGTATTTCTACCATAAAGAAAACCGTTAGAAAATACTTAAGATAAGGTCTGTAAATAATTTTGAAACTTTTAACACCTTTAGTTTTTTTAAGTACACCTCATTTAACTAGAAACATTTATTAAATACTAAAATAATATAATTTTAACTCGAATTTATATTACATATTTATTAATTTTATAATAAATATTTTATTCGAATTCCACGAAAAGCTGGAATAAGCAATATTTTATAGAATATGCTTACTAAAGCTAATAATATACGACTTTGTATTGTGTTTTTGACAATTTGCAGTTTATGCAATTATTACTACTTTTGTTTTCAAATTATATTTATTCATTAATAAGTTTTAATATTTTGATAATAATAATAATAATAAAGAAATTTTTTCTAGTGGTCACCAAAATATTTAATGTTAGTAAGCATTTTTTTCTTGAATGATTGAATTTTATTTTATTTTTGTAATTTCCTATCAATTTTTTCTCTAATATCTTAATTGTACTTGAATTATTTCAATTCTTATTAGGTTATAGTTAACCTTAATGTGTAAAATCTATAAATCTAAAAAAATAGCCTATTTCAATGAATCTAATTAAAAGCGTTCTATACAAATGAAAGTTAATTATGAAGTGAATAAATGAGTACACACCAAAGTTGTAACAGAAAAAAATAGATTTTGAGTAAACAATTGTTAAATTAGTAAAATAATGATTATCCAACAGCAGCACGTTTTAATTTCGAACAAATTTCTATAAAATTACCATTGGAAAGTTTTCTTATGTTTAATTAAACTGCAAAATTAATTAAGCAATTAGTACAAATGTATACACGTGCGTGGTTATGTAAATTATTTAAAAACGCAAGTCCTTAGATGGATATCGATTTGGATTATGACCTTTAAAGAGCAATCGTCATTACGTGTTCCATAATAGTTTGCGCCAATTGTAAACGATATACAGAATAGTATTTTCGTCTGAAGAGGACACATTAATCGAACTGACTATGATTTAACCGTACAGTTAAAATACGCCGTTTGTGTTGCTTCATTTATCGTAATTGAATTAATTAATTCAGATTGCGATTATTTTCATTCGACTGGACAAACATAATAATCTTATCCTGCGTATGAATTATGGATAAGTTTGCATTAGGCAAACTGTTATACGCACTCTGTTTTTGCACGGAAACGTATATAAATTTGCATAAGCAAAGTGATTATTTTTTTTAGTAGGAAGTAATTAAAATAACGGTTTAAGGATTCAATTTTAGAAATCGATGTATTATATTACTAATAAAACAAACAAATTGTTAATTTATGGACGGATCTTACAGATAATTAATATTGCATAAAACAATGTCTATAAAAAATATATAAAATTATTTAGTATATATCTCTATATATAAAAAAAACTAAGCTACTTTTCTTAATGCATAACTAAAAATGCAAGAACCAACATGAACACGGATGGAATACAACTTTTGGCACTGCTTTTGTACGAATTGGGATCACCTGTAAAAAGCAGCAAGTAGTTTGTGATCATCTTTAATTATATTTTGTATATACCCATCTGGAAAGTATGAGCTGGAGAGCTCATCCTACCATCTCCACCATTAGAGTAAGCCAGAACTCTCATTTTGTAAATTTTTCCAGGAGATAGATTCCTGATGTAGGCTTCCAGTTTCTCTCCTACGGGTACAATTGTGTCATTGGCTGTGCTCATATCTTGATCCACTTCCCATGTGCGAATCTAAAAAAAGTTAATGTAGTATCGATTGATTATGATGCGTAGGCGGGTAATACCTTGTATCCTTGTAGAGGTTCCTCTTCGGTGGTCGGTTGCACATATCGCCAAACGACTCTGATGGTGGACGGATTCACTCCGAACATGTGAACAGATGATGGTGGCTTTTGAGGTGCTTTTCTGTACGTTCTCTCTATGTACCGTTCACTTTCTGGACCTTCACCAGCCGCATTATACGCCATTACTTTAACGTAGTAGTAAGTGTCAGGTATTAAGCCTACGATTAAAGCCCAAGGACGCGTTGTTCTCGATAGGTAATACACACTATCCTCTTCCTTATTATCTTTTCTCCAGTATTTAATCTATAACAAAACGATGAATTATAGTAACAAAGATAAAGTTGTATGTTTCTCCAAAACTTACCCTGTGACCAATTAATTTTCCGCGCACGTTTTCTCTGGTTTCCACTATCGGATTCCAGCTTACATTCAGAGCTGTTGAATTGTATGATAGACCAACCACTAGTTGCGGTGCTACCTGTGGCATATCTTCAGCCGAGTAAATCACTACTTCGCTACTAATAGGCCCAGGTCCAATGTCATTCAAAGCTTGTACCTTTACTACGTACTGTGTATAATAGAAATCTATAGACGGGAAATGTATAACGGTTTTTCCCGTGTTTCCATATTCCTTTAGTGTAACGCTATGGAATTTGGTATCATAGTCCCTGCGTTTGTAGTATACTTTGTAGTAGATACCAGGTCCGTATTGTTCTTCAGATTTCAAAGGAGACCATGTGATTGTTAAATCTCCAATTTTACCTCCACCTCCTCCAACGTTTCTTGGCGGAATCTTTGGATGATCTGGTGGAGTTGAATGGCGAGGGCTTGCTACAGATGGCTCTCCCATGCCCAACTCATTCCAAGCAGAGACACGGAATTCGTATGTTGCCCACGGTATCAGAACGTTTTCCAAGAAAGCCTCTTTCCTTCCGGTGTATCGATCAATTTGCTTAGCGAACAAGCCTTGCGTAATGTTCATCCAGGTGTCATTCCAGTTGGTCCTTCCAAATACTGTGTAACTGAGGATAGGTCTACCATTAGAAGCTCCATCCGTCCAATGTAGAATCGCAGAAGTCTTTTGTATTTCTATCACTTGCAATCCACCTAAAACGAAAAAAATCAATATTTTTTACTTGTATTATTATTATTATTATTAATATTTACCAGGTGGGCCTGGAGGTCCTTCAATAATGACGCTTGATCTTGAAGATATTTTTCCAACTGCTGATTTCACTATACATTCATATTCACCGGCATCAGAAAAGGTTGCATTCGAAATACTCAATGATCCACCATCTAATTGCTATAATTATTTAAAAAATGTCAATGAATTAATTTAAATTGTATCATTACGATTGTAAGCTTACGATTTTGTTATAAGAATTCTTGACATCAAGGTCGCGTATTCTAATACCGTTATGAGTCCAAATGTAAGCAATATCAAGCATTTCTTCCGTTTCCGCTTGGCAATGGAATGATAAAGTTTGCTGAACAGATTTGACAACTCGTGGTCTCAACTGTTCCATGAGCCTTGGGCCTCTCAAAACGATTAATCTTCCTCGTGATTCGTCCACACCAAGTTGATTACTAGCAGAACACGTATATATTCCTTCATCGTTTCTGGATACAGGTGCTATAACCAAATTTCCATTCTCCAAAATCTTTCGATGTCCGCCACTTCCAATCACTCTTCCATTCAACTTCCAGATAAACTTAGGTTTCGGTGCCGCTTCCGGTTTACAGACTATAGTAACGTTTCCGTTATCAGCAGCGTATGTTTCTGATTCGAGAGGATGCTTTTTAAATGATGGTTTGAATGCCAGAACTCGAAGTTGTGCTGAAGAATAGGTCGTTTTCAAAGTATTGGATGCTCTGCATTGGTACATCCCCGGATCCCTATCGTCATCTACATCAGTTATAGTCAAAACGTTATCCTGAATATTAATCCTCCTCCTATCATCACTATCCAAATAACCCATAACTAATTGCCTTCCGTTCTTCCACCAAGTGTAGTTGACATCGGGAATTCCGAAAGCTTCGCAAGTCCAAACTAGTTCACCTTTGCTATCAACATGTTTATCGATAAGAGGAATCGTAAAGTTAGGTTCGGCTTGTATATTGATGACAACGCTGTTCTCCAAAGAAGAGCGATCGTTGTAAACCCTGCACGTGTATTCACCCTCATCTTCTACTCGAACATTTTTTATAACCAAGACCCTATTATAACTGGAAAAGTACGAATTACGAGGAATATTTCCATTCTTTCTTGTCCAATTGTAGCTGGGGATGGGACTGAAAACATATGTAATTTTTAAACAGCCTATCGTAAATGATGAATTCAAGAAAAAATAAATAAAATAAAAACAAAACACTTACTATCCAAAAGCCATGCATTCTAATCTAACGTCTTTACCGGCTATTGGAGCTTCCGGGAAAGCTTTAGGGAAATTATTTGGAAATTTCAATTGCTGATAATTTGCTAATAAATAAATATAAAACAATCAAACTAAAAAAAACAACAAATAAACAACTAAGGTTTCTTACAATGTGGGTTCACTCTGAGTGGAAAGAATGGACCGTTTCGGCCAGTATCCGTGAAGTCGGCTTGAACGCTGCAGCTGTAATTACCCCTGTCAATAGATTCTAATGCAGAGAAATATAGAGCACCGTCATTGGAGACAAATACTCTGTTATCCTCTTCAACGAAATTTGGAAAATATTCTCTTGACCAATAGTAATTGACGCTTGGGAAGTGATGAGGCGGATCGCAAAATACAACTTTACCCCAATTTTGGTTTCCAGTCTCAGCAGATCTTTTCAATACGAATTCCGATATAAATCCAAAGTTTAAGTTGACGCTCTCGGATATAATGGTACCAAATTTGTTGGATGCTTTGCAGTGATAAGTTGCTCTATCTATTCTTTGATCTGGGCTATTAATAATAATCATTCCACCACTAATGGTAACTCTGTCGTCTACCAGAGGATCGATTTTTCTAGCTACCAATCTATCACTTTCAAATTCTTCCTTGTACCATTCATAGGTAGGTGTTGGATATCCACCTGCTAGACACGTCAAGGTAACGTCGTTGTACAGTTTAGACTTGGTCATATCATATGTAACATCTTGAGGCTGTTTAATAAAGTAAGGTCCTTGAGGTATCTTTTCAATATCAACAATATCTATACCATAAGTGTATGTCCTATCATCACTAATAAGTCTACGTAAGCTATCAATGTGTGCTTCACAGATAAAGAGCAAATATTCATCACCCCTAACAGGTTGGAATCCCCAATGCACGATTTCCTGCGAAAAATTGTAGGCCAAATAGTCCTTTCCGTAAGGATCAGATTCTCTTAAAAACGCATTCTCCATATTAACGAATTGGCTTCCATCTGGATTAATCCAATAATTAGGGTTCTGTTGGTTTGCCCCAATATACCACTTTCTGTGTTGTGGATCCCTTCTGTTCAATTCATTTATAATAAACCCATGCTCATCAGAATTGCTTACAGATATTAGATCAGAGCCTCCTTGCTCAGGGCTGTATGTCTATGATTAAAATTGAAGACAATATATTAAAAAAAGGCGTTAGATAATGTTTGAATGTTAAAATACCTGGCAAAGTCTTCTAGCTTCATTGTAAGGCTTTAATGGTGACTTAATGAACTTGTAACAGGACTGCCTGTATTTTATCCAATATTCTGGACATTTCTCATAATAAACCTCATTGAAATCATTATCATTATAGCTATTCAAATCTGGATATAGTCTTTGTGCATTAAACAGTGGCAATGCAGCACATATAGCAAATATTAGCCACATGCCTACCTACAAAATTGATTGCATGAAATCATATGAATGAGTAATACTATTGGAGTGGCATATTAAATTAATAAAGGTTAGGATGTTTATAAACAGTGTAATCTTTATTAGTATCTTATCACCAATTATGTTAGATAATATTCAAGATACATACCTCTTTTAAAAAACTTAAATCTTATCAGAACATATAAATAATAAATGTAAACAAAACTTAATACACTGTTGTGTGTCACCGCGCCTTAGATACTATTACTTTCTATTGAGGGGTTTTACAGAGTTCTACCTTTTACCACTACTACCTGTTTCCAAGAATTCCAAGTATTCTAAAGCATTAATTGCTGCATTCTTAAGTGAAACGGTACCTATCGTTGCTTTAAGTAACTTATCTAATCGATAATATAGAAATCGCCTTGTTCTGTTACAAATATTTTTATCGATTTATCATTGATCATTAATTATAAATGTATTATTAAACAACAGGTATATTTACAAAATTATTTAGAATAATATTTTTTTCTTCCGAATTTAAAAAGAAACACTTCAGCAATTAATTGTGTTTCTTTAATGTCTATTAATTAAAAAAAAAATAAATAAGTAAATAAAATTAATAAAATGAACAGTTTTAAATTTTATTTATTTGGAAATTTTATGGCTGCATAAAATTAAGCTAAAATAATATTTTTTATTATATTAATACAACATGCAAATATTTGCATTGCAACTGTAAAATAGTAATATAATAAGCAAATATTTATTTAGATTTAAAGTTTTTGTGAACAAACACAAAGTTGTATACAAATAAAATTGCTGATTATATAAGTTCAGAAGCAAACCATAAAGTTGTGACACGCCCAAACTTGGCAATTACTATTAGCACCATCTATTAGTTGCAATAGAAAGTTTGGGAATCATTACATTTCTAGATTATGTTTTAATTACATTTCTTTTTAATTACTGGATATTTTTTTATTTTGTTGTTTAAATTAGTTGTTTTAATTATTTTAGTAATAAATCTTTAAAATTCAATATAATTAATTTATGTAAATGAAATTTCAATTGTGTCATTGAATCTATGATTTCAAGTTTGGGATATGTTTTATGAATGAATGATTCTTCTTAAATACTTTATTTGATAAACATTTACATACACATTCCTTTATCTCTGGTTACTAATAAATAGAGAACTGTTTCATGCATGAAATTTTGTTATCTACATTGATAGTAATATTTGGAGCCACTGGTCTAAACAGAATACATCAATAAACTGTAGTGAGTGAATTGAACAAGGGAAAAGTCTCATTTTGAAGAAAACTGCTTCTTCGCTCGTCGTCCATCTATCGATTCGTTGCCGCTTCCGAGGTCTATGCAAAAGATGCAGGCGTGGAAATGGAGTTGCCTGCTTCCAGGATGATATCAAATATCGAGGCGTATTTTCACCATATTTAAGAATTTTGATAAAGATATAAATAGTTTATAAAGATTCCAAAAAAATACTTTCTCATTTTTGTCTTATTTTCTTTCAAAAAATATACAATTATACAATGAATATGGTTTGTTTTTTAGGGTTTGCAGAAGAACCTAGCGGCGCGTAGTTAAATGTACCTAACGCGCTGCTTAATTCCATGTTTCCTTCTACAATAAATTCTGAAGAAACAGAAAGAAGAAGAAAAAAACGATTTGATTAAACGAAGTCACATGCTTTTTGGAGAACACTTAGCTGCAGTTAACACAAGCGCACTGAAAAAAACCGAAGTGAGGCAACGGCAATTATAAGCATTTTCGTCTTTAATTGTCTTTGATAGTTTACACATCAGGTTTGATATACGTTTGCCTTTGGCTCACTTGTGATTGAGATAGAGAAATTATAATAAAAAGAGGGAAAACATTTATATTTTTTTTGGTAAAAAAATAAAATAAATGTAAAAACAAGGCCAAGGGATGCATGTGAGAAGATTGGATGCTGGGGATCAGCACATCAATGATCACCTAACGCTCGTTATGAGAATTAGCACGAAGATGAACATGGTGCTGCTAACACCAGATAAGGAAGCATCGCACTGCAGCTCATCGTATGGGTAGTAGTTCGATGGTGACGGCTCCTCGCCTGGTTTGCACGATTCTCCCCTAGATTCGAATTCATCCTTAAAAGAAATAGAATAAATTGGAGTAAACGGTGTCGGATTTAGATAACAAACCTGGCACAGTTCCCTGCAAGGAGGGCAAATAATGGCACCTTTGTGAAGCCATTCGTTGTTTAAGATCCTAATGGCTATCTCTTGTTTCGAATGGTAACAAGTATAAGTATAGTTCTCCACCTGCAAAATGCTCAGGTTAAACGAGCGAATTAAAGATAGCCGAAGGGCTGTTACTCACTTTGATGTGTAAGCGGCCATTCTCGCACTTGTAGCTGTAGCAACCTGAGCCGAAGTGTTGCCACTGTTTCATCTCCCTGCAAGACCTTTCCTCCCACATCTTGTTCGAGTGTTCGAAACATCTCGAGTGCTTGCCGTATTTCTCGAAGGCAAAATTCTTGTCGGGATCTGGTCGAAAATTTTCTCAGTTAAATATGAATCGCTTAAAAAAAACAAAAAGTCCTTACGCGGATTGTTCTCTGAGAACTGGCAATGCGATCCTCTGACAATGGTCCCGTTCGAACGCCAATTGAATTCTTGTATGTAAGGGCAGTAATCAGCTAAGGACACTGATCCGCCGTAAAAGCCCTCGGTTCCTGGCTCAACGTAATCTATTTTGTCGAAGTTCTAGGAAAGGAATTAACTGGAAAGTGCTTCACCGGAAAAGCGCTAAGTATATAATATATACCTGGTAGAGCTGCGGCAGGAATTCGGAGTGCTTGTCCAGGTTGCACAAGGCTACGGAGGTCCTGTCATCCGTGCATTCAGTCTGCAGGGGATTCCTTTTCACCTTGTTACAGAAAGGATGGATTGACCTACCCCTGAACACACAGACCAAAGTCTTCCATGAATACTTGATTGAGATTGCATATTTACCAAGTTACGCTTCGGATCAACTCGTAAAATGTAAATAAAAATCCTATTCGATTTATTTATTTACCTCACAAACAAATGTTTCTTTACCACCACTTTATGTGCAAGTACATAGATACGATAAAATATCTAATTAGATTATAAATATTTAAAAAAAAGTTTTGGTTTTAATACTTGATTTTAAGGAGAAAACTAATATATTTTTTTCGAGTAACATAGTACATTATTCTAAAACAACTTTTTTAAAGGATTCGTTTAGTTGTATGTAAAATAAACGTTGCTTAAATTCATTGAAAGCAATTAGTTGACAGGTATAGAATAGATTAAATAAAAGCCGATTGTAATTCGAAAAACAATTCGTAAAGGGAGAACCCGGTGTCGGAAGCAGGTGGACTACTATTATCATCCGGGAATTGCGTAACGAGTGTCTCAATGATTTATAAGTACGAATGTATTGAAATCGATTGGAATATGTATAGTCTGGTGCTTACCTCGCGGACTTTGTGGTTATCCACTCTTTGCAACTCTTCATCACGAAGTCGCAGCCCAGGTTCCTGCCCCAGGTGAGCGTCTCCGCCATGGAGTAGTTCGCCTTGTACCATCCCGTATCCTCCATCAGTGCGAGAGTTATCCTCGAGATGACCGGATTTTGTGTGTGGGTACCAGTCATAGCTTCATTCTGTGAACAATAACGTTTCCATTTCCAAACCACGTTACGTTTACACTTTCACGCTCCTTTGCTACGTTAATTATGCACGCGATACCTGCTCTTTATATTTACCAAAGCTCAGCATTAATAACTCGGCCACGATCTAGTTCATAACAATGTACCATTTAAAGAAGCGCACCTCATTGTTTCTAATCAAATACAATTACATATACTTAGAAATAATTAAAGAAAAATTATAGCATGATGAGAAACCAATAGCTCGCACGTTAAAACAACGAGGCTTTAATGATTATGGATTATATTTCCTACCGGAATGGTTGGCTTTAGAAATCGCACAATAATTGGGTATCAGATTGTAAGGTGCAGTACATTATGTCTGCTTTAAATCAAATGAAAGCCTCAAAATCCGGTGCAATTCACTATCCATCCCAAGAGATCTTCGATATAAAGCTTTGCCAAGCATTCAGATTTGCGGCATATCATTACAGCCAGGCTATATTTTTTTGTTATCTATTCCTTCTATTTCAAAGGACGATACTTGAACTTTCCTCTTCCAAAAGGATGCGCTTTACATATAAAATAAATGGGAAATGTTTTTGCAGCATTAAAATATATCAGTTGAAGTGGATTCAGCAAAACGTGAAGCAACATCCATTAAAACACCCCAATCATTGAAAATGTTTTGTTAGATACAAAAATTGCAATTTAGGAAAAAATGTCGATAAATGAAGTTTCAGAATAATCTCAGTATATGAAAAATATTTCATCTATTCATACCCGTCCTTTTATTTTATATTTATGACACATTTACTGGAACTTTCATATTTATGGAATATTTATTGCTTCATGCATGATTTATATGAGAAAAAGATAAAAATTCAATTCTGAATACAAACACAACGAATGTGGTTTGAAAAGTTTTATCTTTAAATTTGTTTGTTTAATATTTATAAATTTTATTTTAACGGTTTAAAAAAAATCTTTTGTATTTCTAATTATTATATAATCCATTATAATAATACAATATATAATAATCAATTGCACGAATAACCGCAAAAGTTGCATCAATTTTGTTTTAATTATATATAAATAATTTATTCCACAATAATTTTTATTTCAATAATTTTCATTAATTCGCATAAATAATTCACCGAATATGGAACTGCATTCATTTCGAAATTTATATTTACGCACAATTATGCTCAAATAAAAAAATATATTTCATATTTTGTTTTGGTTTTGCTACTCAATTAGTGGTGAAATGTTGTTTGCATCCAAATGCAAAAATATTGAAAAATAAATAACGAACGAAATATATGGTTGCTCCATTGCAATTCGCTCTTAATTAGAAATGAACATTCATCACCATTAAAATTGAAATTTCCCTACTTTCATCAAAAAACAGGATATTCACATTGAATTTCATTTATTTGATTATTGTATAAAATAAATCAAAACATGATAGAAATTGGATAGTCTTTTTCGATATTTCCCAAACGCAATGAGATTTCTTGTGCATTAATAATAATAATAAGTACATGATTATGTATTTACAGTGCGATGGTAATGTGTACGTTCGTATGAACTTCGAGTACGTTGGTGCGAATGAAGATACTTGCGTACAAAGAAAATTGCAAATATCAATCACGAAGCCTTTTTTTATACGTGTTTTGTTGATTAGTGCAAAATATTGCAAAAAATTAATTAAATTTGCATTTTTTTGTGCCTTTCAATTCGAAATGTTTACTTTATAATTGTGTGCAGCATATGTCTACATTCACAGAGATATTTGCATTTCCTGCTCGGGATCCAACAGGAATAAAGTAATTTAATTCCCGTTTTGTTGTGCAATACAACAAACGATAGGCACGTATAATTATTTGCTTTAATTTGAAAACACGAATAATTGAGCTTCCGATACTGCCACTAATTAAATGCAATTATTTTGTGGAATCGTGCGTCCTAGTTGATGCATTCAAATCAATTAATATTAATTTTATTTGTAATTCCCACATTGTTTGGGTAGACGCATTTTCGTTCCATGGAATATTGTGTGTGCAAATTTCGTCTAATAGAATTTTGAGAGTACAAAATTTAATTACTTAAATGTTGTATGTAAATAATATTCAAATTCGAGCGTTTCACGACTACATAAGCGCAACAGCTTTGCGTCACACCCTTAACGTTATTGCTAAAGACTTGCCTCTCCGAGATAATTCACAAGTATTTGTCAAGTACCTTCTATTTTATATGAAATATGCGCAAAACTACTTGTATTTAGGGTCCGTAAATAATACCAATATTTTTGATAATACTTGACAAAAACTTAAGAAAATCCCTCGATCATGTAATTATTATTATTTTCAAGAAGTGAATTATTGTCCAAATAGAATAATGACTTGTTGTGCTTTAGTCAACGTACTGTAATAGCTTGATTTGATTATAATTGCACCTGATTGCGTCTGGCTCTTTGACCTAAGAGTGCATTTGATGTTTGAATACAGTTTATTAAAAGTAATTGAGTGGTAATTACGTAATTGAGTATCGCGCGCGCGGTCAGGTGCGTCGACCTAATCCGATTAGCTTCGGGCGGAGCTGCCTTTGTTTTTATTAGTTTTATTTTATTTTCTGGTCCGTCTCCTCTTTGCCACGCAAATTGGAGTCCATCAAACGCGTTAAATAACGTAACACAAGACCGTAATTGGAGTGATGCACACTGTGATTATATTTGCTTCCAGCATCTAAACAACTTTGATGAAAGCTAGTTTCTTTAAAACTACATATAGGTTCAATAAAGATCAGTTACATATATAGATTTTATTGTCTAGTAGTATTAACTCTTTTGTAGTGGTCAGTAATAGAATTTAAAGTTTTGTAGTAACTCAGTGTTTCCCGAGTTCATATTCGAATTGCTCCCACAACAATCAAATTGCCCTGCTGTGGGATGTGGAAAACACTGTAGTAACTAGTATAAAGTAAGCGGACGTAACTAGTAGTTATGTAGAACTATTTGTTACTCCATCAAATCTTATCCAATCTTTGAGATTTTGAGAATCACCCATCCTTAACACACGTTTCTTTAGTAAGGTAATTTCTCAATTTATGAGAAATACACTTGATTTAATATATAAGGGAATATGATAAAAATAAATCTGCAGACATAATAGAGAGCAAATTAATGAGGATAATATTATATAACATAATAACCCAATTTCCTACGTAATAAATCTGATTCCAAATATAGTATAAAATAACAAATAAAAATAATATCTGCTCTTGATGAATGAACGATGAACGCGTTGACACGTGAACAGAAAAGAAAAAAACAAAATAATTATGTTCAATAGAATCATTGAATGCGAGCGACATTTACAATTCAAATACGAATTATCACAATTTGTCAACAAATTACATGAATCATTTTTAATATAAAAAAAAACACAATAAAATAATTGCAGTTTTGTATACTATTAATAATAGGAACGTAAATTTTAAGTAACAATTTTAGATATTTATTTAAGTTTGCATACATTTGCATACATTTTTTATGGATTTCATGCTACTAAAATATTCGGATACATGGCCAAAATTGTTTCGTAAGCAAGATGACGCTCGTTGGTCCAGTTTGTATAGGTGTTCAATGAAAGTCCCGAAAGAGAAATGGTACCGGAACCAGTTGTGTCAACAACGATTGTTATCTTGTGTAAACGCTTTCTACGATAAGTCGATTACATAATCGAATTACGTCGGACAGGTTTATCCAACAGGTATGAAATATTGAAAACAAAACCAAAAAATCTAATAAAACTATATCAAAATCGAAGAATATTGATGACTTGTAACATTCTGACTTAATTACAAATTGTAATCTTCTTAATTCTTTGTTGTAATCCGAGAAAACTTTAGGTAAAATAATTATGTTGTATGCTTCTAATGGCACTTTCAATAACATTTATGACCTATGACATTTAATTTAAATTTTATTATTTTTTTGTTATATGATAACATAAACTAGGTCATTTCAATATATTTTGTTGATCTATGACATCTGATTTAATGCAATCAATCTTGTTATTTTTTGTTTTACGATATGTTATTATAAATTTGATCATTTTGATGATATAAACTTTAGGTAATTGGACTAGGTGCAATTAAGTTATTTACGTTTGTAGTAACTTATTATAGTTTCCTGTCTCTGCATTGCAGAACAGCAGTGGAAGCAATCACTAGAAAAATAAACCAACTTACCTCGAATACACGTTTTTCCCAATGCGTGAGTGCCGTGCCTTCTTCTCCTTGGTCTTCCAATTCAGCACCTTCGAGCAGTGAACAGTTGAAGTACTCCCTGACTTCACGCACGACCTGTGGAGTAACGATCATCTGCACCTCGCGCTCCATCACACCTGACCTGACCATCCAGTTACTCCTCGTCACCGTCTTTATCACTCTTTCGCTCCATTGGTACGTCTGCAGTCTGCGAATTAAGAGATGACGTTAACATTTCGTTTGTCCGGTGCAGACATTCGGGTGGAATGTACCTTTCATTGAGGGTAGGTTTTCCGGTGTCCCTGCTGCGCGGCGTTAGGGGATTCCCCTTCTCGTCGCGGTAGAATGCGTACAGGCTGACGGAAAAGCCTAGGGCATGAAGGATTTCGTGTTTCACCGTCGACAGCAGCGTTTCCAGTTCTTGCGGTTTCGTGCTTATATTGTTAGGGCACAAATTCGCATGTCCTGCTATTGGTCTGGAATTTACATACGTATGCTTACATAACAAAAAATAAAATTTATATATAAAATTTTATATTTTCATATAAAATAATCGAATTGTCTAATATTTGAAAAAATAATTTGTATTTGTACTGAAAACTGGAAGATTGTTTGATATTGATCAAGGATTGAAGATTTTTTAAAATTTTAATTGTATTTACAATAACCTTGTTCGTAATGTGAGAAAAAGGTTATAGAAAAATGCTAACTTCATTTATTAATGAAGAGATTCGTAGTAATAATTACATATTTTCATTAATTACTATAATTATCATAAATGAAACTAAAAGTCTTGATATTATAGAATTTGATTGACATGAAAATAATTTTCTGAAACAGCAGTGAAATTATTTTCAATGTGGAAAGGAAAATCGATATTCATTTGAATAATCTTATTTTGTAAAGGCTAGTGAACCTTGTCCAGTGAATTAGGTTCAGCGTTTCAGTGTTCAAATTCTGACAAGAGTTTGCACATATTTAATGAGACGTTTGCGTCAAATAGGTCGGAATTCGATAAACACAATTCCACATGTACGAGATGAGCCAACGGATGTCACGGAATCGGCCTCAAGTTCCATTGATATTGGCGCGATGAATAATGAGGTAGAACCTTGCCACATCATTGTTTATTGCGCAATTAGCATGAGCAGGGAAAAGACGAAGAAAATAATAAGAATAATAAAGAAAAAAGCTATACGCATTTTCTTAGAATTGCGCAATGTTTTTGTTGTTTTCTTTGCACGACACTCGCTTGAATCACGGCACATCTAATTATATAATTTGTGATTAAAATAGCATGAATGTAATTTGTTTCTTTTCCATAGATTATCTGCTATTTCTTTGTTCAGTGTAATACTTCCTATATTTTATATTTTTTAAATCATTTCCGTAATTTTATAGATTGCTTTAGTTAAATTCAAACATCTATAAAATTAAACATGAAATACCTATGAATAGTATACATTGAGATTTCTGAAAATTAGTTTGAAGGATGTTTCATGATTTTCATTATTTAATTATTTTGATTATAATTAAGTATGTGTGCAATGTGTAATTTACAAGAGGATGAAAATAAATATTACTTAAATTGCGTAATACACTCACATCTGGAAATATAATAAAAAAAATATGAAACATCCATGGATGATATTTTAACAAAGTCTGTTGTTTCATTAACTTAAAATTTGTAATATTGAAGAAAAGTATAATACCTATCTAGACCTGTTTCTTGTTGGCAGTGAGCTGCATATGCTACTGCCAAAGATTTATTGCACCTTTCCGTCTGAGAAGCGGAAACATAGAAGACAAAATCGAAGCCTTCGATACCTGCAGGAAAATATAAAAAAAATAAGGATTGAAATTTAGAAAATGGTAATATAGAGAAAATTTTATAAATTTGAGTTTAAAATGTGAGACTTACCTTGTCCAGGTTGAGATCCAGGTCGTATACCACAGTTCTGTCCAGTACTATTGCAAACCCTGCAAGCGTCCAAGTGTGATTCAGGTACTTCAACTTCACCACACATGGTCTTTTCCTTGCATGTGTCGATGCAATGGGTCAAGGAATCCTTGACGAAGACCTGGGTTTCGTTACATTTCCTTGAAAGAAAAGAAAAAAAAAGTGCATAGGAAAACATTTGTTGTCAGCCTTCGGACTTCGAAAATAGCTACAAGCTGTTTATGTAAATCTCACCTAGTAAGCCGAATGACGTTTTCCACTTTCCTGACAAATAGTGCCTTCTCCCAATACTGTACAGCTTGCGGTAGTATTGTGTTCTGAGGGGTAAAATTTTCGATGGTGATGATACTAAGTTTTAATCAAATCATAGCTACAATACTTACGTTAATTAATTCAAATTGTGTATCGTTCAATCTGAAACAGAAAAGGAAACTGTTTAAGAAGCTGTTTGCCTCGATGGGAAAACATCCTTGTTACATCAATGCCATCTCGAGTCATAAAATCCTCGCGATAAGCAAATAAGATGAATATAAAGAAACGAATGTAGGATTTCCGCCATCAACGAAAGTGAGTATCGTCTTCCTGTCAGCAGGAAGATCGTGGAGCCGAGAGAAATTGCGCATCCCACAATCATAATGATGCAACAACAGTAACGCTCACTTTCGATTGAAAACGTTAAAGCCACATGAGTGCACTTAATTTTGCTCTAAACTGTGATATCGTTAGCCGAGGAGGAATTAAGTCGTTAGTCAATTTAAAGCGAATAGGTCGAGACGCGTGGTCGGCTCGAAATTTGCGCAAATTGCGGAGACCTCATTTTCTTATGCGAAGGAGGAAAACGTTAAAAAAAGACACACGGTTATTAACGTTTCGACCTCGTCTAGCAAATTATTTTGTCTTACGACTTTCAGTAATCTTAATTGAATTACTAAAAATCTGTAATAACATACAATTACAACATTTCATTAGCTGATTCAGATGTCCTTTATTATGAAATAATCAAATATAATAAAAGTTTGATAATTTTCTTGAAAAAAAAGCATATATTTAAATAAACTTAATTTAAGAAAAGTAAATAACTTCATGGTCTATTATTCTACGAAGGTGTATGTTGGTGCGAACAAAATAATCAAAAGTTACAGAATTGCATAAAAAATAAGAAAAATAAATATAAATATCGTAAATATTCTAATACAGAAACAAGAAAAAGGATTGATATCTAGAGAATTACTTAACATTTCATAACGTTTTATAGTCGCTGAATCAGATGCCCTTTTAATATGCAAAAAAAAGAAACGTTTTATAGGTTTCTTGGAAATCTAAAATATATTTGTATCAACTCGTTTTAGAAAAAAAGAACTGAGTAAAATAAAAATGTACGTTCGTATGAATGAGTACAAACAGACCAAAAAAAATCAAAACGCATGCATTTGTTATATGGAAATTTATCCAATTTGTGTACGTTAACTGAGTGCCGTCCATACATATCCAACGATAAATACTCGCATGTTTATTTGGACGCATCTTAGGACGAAAACAAAAGGTTGTTGGACCCGCATGAATCACATCCTCGCAAAACCGGTTATGATCCAAAACACTCTTCGATTAGGTAATTTTGCCACATCTGGAATCCACTTAGCTGCGAGCGTAACATTGACACAACCTTCGAACAACTCTCCAAACAATCGAAATCTTCAATTCCTGTTCCCCTGATCCTTAGAGCTCGAAAAAAAAACAACATCCCATAAATATGCAATGTGTTTTAACAACATCTGCAAATTTTGTTCCGTTAATTTATTATTAAAATTTACAAGAAGTTCATCCGTTAATTCTGCGTTCCGAGCGGACGTTGAATAATGCATTTTGTTCATTTTGTTTGGTAGTTTTACTTAACGCTACTTTTAATGCATTAAAAAAATAAATACATAAAATCTACTTGTTATAGCAAAAAAAAATAACTGCAGATAGCTGAATCCACGCCGAGGTCGAACAATGAAAGAAAACTAAGTGAATGTAATGAGAATGAAAATAATACTTTAATGTAATTTATACTTTCCATTAGAGATAAAATCTGCGTTAATTAATGTTATTAAAAAGATAGTCTCTATACATTTGAATTAAATTACATAATGATAATTTATATCTAAATTTAATATATTTATTTAATTCTTAATTTTATCAATTTCACAAGTTGATGAATTTATCAAAAGGATCAATGACTTTCATATGGTAATATTAAAGGAAGCTATGGAATATATGCAAATTTTAACTATCAATATGAAAATTGAACAACCTACAGTATACATTATAATTATATAACCGAGAGAAATTTCCCTCCGGCATTTTCGTAGAAATGCGAGGTAATTTAGTAGATGTACAACTTTAAGATATCGTGAATAGTATATAAAAAAGATACTTAGTGAGTTGGCAAGTACACTTCTTGCAGGTGAGTAGAATGAGATTAATTTTAAACCACAAGATAACAACGAGATTGCGAAATGAAAGTGTACGGTCGATGAGGAGTGAGACGAAAAAAATATATAAGAAGATGAAGAAAGAGCTGGACGAGATGTACCAAATACGAAGGTTGCCTGAAGAAAGGAAGTTGCCGAGAATTCGTGCATGTTCAAGGCTTCGAGTGAAATTTCCACTTTGTATTTTAAAGATCAAATTGAAAACATCTCCGGAAACTGGAAATACCAGCAACAAATACATGATTTTTCGTTGATTTATTTCGAAGAATTATCAAAAACCCGAAGACAAAACTTTTTATGAAAATTTACTATTTAGTTACAAATTTACATGTAATTTTAGAAATTTGCTATTAATTTTATAAATGAACAGGATGATCTATGGTCAATAGTCGTTTGCAGCAGTTGACTTTATACATATTCACATTTAAAATTAGTGTTATAAATGTACTATTAAGTTAATACATTTATAATTAATTTGATAAATTTAGTATAAACTTGCAAATAAGTTTGTAAATTTACAATTAAGTTTATAAATTAAACTTGATTGAATCACTAAGCAATCTAGAGTTTATTTATTTTTGTCCTCCCTCAAAGTGATTTACATTTCAATCAGACCACCCTCAATCAATCCCGGAGCGTTGCGCAGCGTATCTTGTAGAAAGGACGACGGAGTGTTTTATGACGTTAAAATGGATATACCACCTTAACGAGAGGTTTATTGCTTAGTTGGAGAAACTTACGTGTTGTAAAAAAAGAGCGCACTTGAATCTGGCACAATGATGTATCTATATATATTTTTTTTTTTAACAGTCAAGTACAAACTCAACTCAATTTCCGGTCCAATAAATCTCTTGTATGTTCTTTTCATCATAAAGTATAAACTTGACATATTCGTTCCATCTCTGATTTTCCAATATCGCATGGCAGTTTTTAATCTACCTATATGAAAATACAAACGGAAACTTGTCACAGGATTCAATTGTTTCCTGACATATAACAGTTATATTTCCTGCTTCTGGCGACGTAATGAAAATATGTTGCACGTTGGAAAAGCTCTAGGGGAGAGAATGCGGATAATTAATGATTTTGCTAGGACTAAAAAAGGATAATACACACGGCGGTAGAGGAAATTACGTCCCATCACTAAAAAAAATTGTGATATGCAAAAGTTTGATTGCATTCGTAATACATCTCTATAGGAGAGGCACTAATTCGATTTCATTTCGATGCGAATTCTAAGTTCGTAATTACTTTTTGAATTTCGACGCCGCTGACCGCTGGGATTAATTCCATAATTTGGTTTTGTTGTTGTTGTTGCTGCTGCTGTTTTGTTTATGTGTACAGTTCAATCTGCAACACAATTAAAAGTTTGCAATTCGCTTTGGCTTATTGCAAGTTTCATTTGTCTACGTTCAGAAAGTAAGTTCCAATTGTTTTGGTTAAATATAAATAAATCTGTTGTCTTTCTACCAATTATACGCATGAATTATTAACTAAGGTGCACACACACATCCTCTTAATTAACTTCTACTTATTTAAATACAAAAATTTAAAAAAAAAATATACAATTTTAATTACGCATCGTTAATTGAAATACATGGAAAATTATTAATAACAAACTTATTTAAAACGCTGTGTATGAAAAAATATGTACAAAAAAAATTGTTTAAATTTTAAATTTACTGAAATACAGTCGAAATAGTGCCGATTAAGCAGCTGTCCAAATTATCCGGTTTTGTTTCCGTTCTTTATGATTTGTCCAGATTAACCGGTGTCCCGAGTAAGCGGAAATGACTATATATACATTCTCTTTATAAATTAGATGTATCATAGATATGATCAGTTTTATAGCCGTTTTACGGACAGATCATTGATATGTTATTAGTTAATGATCTAGTTCTTGGTAGCAGTCATCACCTTGCCTTGCCTAGGGCTATGTTACATAGTCCAGATTGTTAATTAAAATCGGATCTTTCGAAAATGAAAGCGATTCGTTGCGTAACTGTTTTCATTTATATAACTTGCGTTTCATTGAAAAACAAAACACGACAAAACTACAAATTATGCCACAGTATCCCGAGATATTCAATCCCGGGACACGACAAACGTTTTTCCAAAATATAAAAACAATTTTTATTAACTTGAAAATGCGGTTTCGATCAGTCCTAATTCATATTTCAGCAAAATAAAAATTAATACACATTTTTTTTATAAATACATTAAAGGTCTCGGTTAGTCCGGTTTCAAGTAGTGGCGATTATTCGCAATATGCAAGTTATTGCTGTACTTCTCTCTTTTTACTATGTTTTCGTACTAAATTTATACAGAATGGGGACTATCTCAATAAACTTTTATCATTATTACTGTCCTTTTTTTCTACCTATAAATGTAAATAAAGTTAAGCAATAAAAGCGCTGGGATTCGACAAAGCACAACGAGTTCGATTTATTTGATATACCAGTAATGAAAATTAGATACACTTGAAATGTTAGTTGTCGAATTGAAGCAGACGGAAACCAACAGTTTCATATTATCGCATTCTCTCTTTTAGTTCTTTCGTTGTAAGTTTAAATGGACTGAGGCTGCATTCAATAAACTTTACATCTAAATAAAATGTAAAAGCGTGGATTCGAAATAATACAAAGAAAATACATATTCAAATGATTTCATCAAGTTAAACAATGGAAGTAATATAAATTTATTTTGAATGGATTTAAAAATTATACACTTAAAATTTTGTTTGATCTTCTAACGAAATAAACTTTAAAAGTAAGTAAAGTTACATTGTAAAAAGCCCGAAACAATTCAATTTAATTAAAGACAAAGTATCTTTTGTCACTTAAAAAAAATCTGTTGAAACTACTTTTTTTCCTATTAACTCAAATAGTCCTATTATCCTAATGATTTATATGCTTTTAATTAGTAAAACAATTTTAACGTATTTAGTGTAAAAAAAAGCTATTCAAAGCCCTAAACAATGTTAAATCTTATGAATTACATAAAAAAATTTAATAAAAACAAATTGATAAAAAAAATTGCAATCTATTATGTTTGAACAATCCTTTTTTTGTTGGTCAATGATTCGTTTCAATAAATTTGATAAAACTTTTTTCTTACATAAGAATTTAATATTTTTAATTAATTCCGTACAGTTATACAATATGTTACTAAGTAGTAAAATAGTAAGTGTCTGCAGTAATTTTAACTGTTAGTTTTTTGATGTAAAAATAATGACGAATTTAGAATGTATGTCGTGTAAATTGCTCAATGTTTTTAGGACCATGGCTTAATCAAAGTTTCTCGTCTGTATTTTTTTTTATGGGATGAGTTTCGGTTTTGCGAAAGATTTGATGAGCGTTTTGCTGAGGAATCCACGTGAGGAAACAGCATGCACCAAAAATAGTAAAAACATCGGAATCGTTTGGTGCGTGTAAAGCAAACAAAGCTTGCGACCTGCGACAACTTATGGAATATACTTAATGGAAAGTGCTCATGGAAACAGATGATGTCGAATAGTTAGAAAGTTACGCACCATATATTCCACTCATACGCAGATTTGTTTGCTCAACAAACAGTTGGGTAATAGAAAAGAGACTAACTGACCTGTAGACGCTTTCGTCGTACCACAAGAGGATCCTCAAGGACTGATCGATGCTCCTCTTTCGCATCGCATGATGTGACTCTATGTGGACCCCGTGGACAACCTGCAAAATTGGAAAACCAAAAAATCATTACGCAATTTACTATTGCTATAGCCATATAACTAATAACGTATTCCGATCGCGAATAACGAATACATTTCACGTTCGACCCGAATATGTAAACAATAACTAAAATCATCAGAGAGCGCGCGATTTTTAATTGAATCCTCACCGCGCACCGAAACTAAATGCGAGTCAAACAGTTTTTGTTATGCAAATCGTCCTCGATACGCGTACATATGCCGCAAATTAGCATTTCCCACCGAACATCCTAATTTACAATTGCGCTAATAAACATATAAAATTTGCACAAACATATCGATGTTATGCAATTCATGAATTTTGATTCTTTCCTTCCGATCATTCAAAGGTAGTGGTAATTGGATAGTATCAATAGGGGAACTTTCTTCCGATAGGCAAACATTAACTTTTAAAGGCAATTTCCCATACCGTAGCAAATCCGTGCCGCTCTTAATTAAACTCTGAATACATTACGAGCACTGTGTGAACTGAATGTACTAATTCTCAAACTTCCTAATGAATCAATTACGACCCGCTGCGATCTCTTTAAGTCATTTCATAAACAACTACGAGTATTCCAGTCACACAACGATCGCACCGATTAAAACTATAAGTCTTCCATTCTTTACCGATGCACACAAATATACATGACTCATACCTTATCTCTACTATGTCATTACATTGTTTACTGTTCGCTTATGCTACATTTACTACCATGTTTAAATAATCGTACAATTGTTCATAAGAATAAAATATAATTACACTAAAGTATATAATCCGTTATTCTATGAAATAACTAGTTAAACTATGAAATAATATCTCAATTATATACAGGACGTATGTTGAAAGTTACTATTTTTTTTTGTTTCCATCCAGTGAATTTTCTTATGAAGAAGGGCGCATTATTCTTAGTAGCCCAAAGGCACCCCCCTGTCAAACAACTGAGTACGGCCCTGATTATATACTTTATTTAGATATTCCTTATATTAGGAATGTTTAGAATAACTAAATAAAGAATCAAATAACTATGTAATTCAGACAATATTGGTATTAGAAACTTTAACTGACATAAAAATATTCTAGTCTGGGATCAATAATTTTCTGTAATACAAATACAAAAGATTCAAATAGATTCGAGCAACCCTTAATAACAAAGAATTGCATGTTTCATGTTTGGCTCGCCTCGCCGTTACCTGAAACCAATCATAATGTACCTCTGACACCGAAATGCAGCCAAGTATACTACTATATTGGCTTACGACAATGCAACTCAATTATTTTCAAAGAAACAAAACTCCAATTTTATAAGAAAATCTTTTAAATACAATACAATAAATGATGACATTATTTATATCACTTATTCATTTTAGAATATAATATTAATGCAATTAAGTCATATAATATACACCAATTAATCTCATTTTTTGGTGCTCATTAAGACAAAATTATTTTACACAAATTTATTTATTATTTTTAAATACTTAATAAACGTAACAAAATACTTCAAGGATTACTCAACAATTAAAATATTTTTATGGCCTATTATGTTTTGTATCGGAAAGATTCATTAGTAACCCAATACGATACGATAATAGTCTATTACAGATTGTTTTTTTAATTGCTGCACTCATTTATTTTTTTTATGTATTTTTCCATATAATATTGAAGGAAATATAATGATTATGGAAACGATTGCATTTGATCATTTATTTACATGACGTAATACAATATTAATATACTTTCCGCTTAATCGGGACATCGGTTAATCGAAACAACCACAAATCATAAAGAACGGAAACAAAACCGAGCAAATAACAAATGGAAATTTGGACAATCAGGTCAAATATACTAGTCCCGATTAAGCGAAATCGACTTTAAACATAAGGTTTAATAATATTTAGAAATAGTTTATTTTTAATTTGAAGCAATACATTTATATGATACATTTTATATGTAATATTTCATTATGGCTTGAGATTAATTAATGTCTCTGAAAAGTCTCCGAAGAGAAACAAACAAGTTTTAGCTCGGGTGTTTCGCGATGGCGGTAAAAGGCGAGGGCGTGAAGAAAAGGAACAGCACGATGAGGAATGTAGCAATTCAGGGTCTTTTTTCTTCATTTCATTACGATGATGACGATTATTATTATTTTCAAAAAGAAATTTATAATTTATGTAATGAAACATGAAGTTGTCGTAGAAATTGAAAGTCGAACGGCATGCATAAATGCTGTAAGGCCGTCGTCGAGAAGGACATAAACCGGTGTCTGCAATTGCTTTCTACGGGGGGTCCTCATCCTCAGGCTTCACAATTCCTAACGTGCTCAACTTTGACACTACTACCAAAGGAGGAAGAAGAAAAAAAAAACAAGAAACATAAGTTGAAGACGAATCTCGCGTGAAAGGAATGTCGAACGCGTACAGATATTGAATTACAAATCGCCGGGAAAGTGCATCATCCATCGACTTTGGAAAGAAAGTTCCAGGTTATTGTGCCGAATTTTGATTAAATTATAACCGTTGTGCGATCGAAATAACTAAACAATAATCATCCGAAGTTTGTCGGCAAAGGAGACTTTCACTGCTGTGCAATGAAAGCAATTGCAGTTTAAATGTCTCGGCGCCAAGTTCAATCTGCAAGGTTACTGGGAATACAGAGTAAAAACAAAGGATATTGAATATTTCAAAGAAAATAAGTAAATTTGAAACTTTCTCGTTACGCGCTTTTTTTTTACAATCAAAGTTGTTTAATAGGACCCGGTGTTTCCATTCATCCTAGCGTTGCAATTGTACCAAATTATCTTCATACTATACAATTTGTGCAACGAGAAGTTTCCAAATTTAAAAGCTGCATGCGACGGATTATGTCTAAAATTTATTCAATAAAAGTTAACTGCAGCATAGATAGTTTCTACCATGGGTAGCTTACCTCATTATGCTTAGGATGGAAGTGGTTACAGGTCCTGGCATCAACGGAAACGTAAAGAAAAACCGAAAAGCAAAATAAAGTCGCACGAGAAGTCACCATAGTTCTCTGAATTTTCCGATGATTGGACCACGAGGTGCGCTCAGAATCGCATTTTCCTGATGATCGGGCCCGCGCAGCGGTGGTTTAATTGATCAAAATATGAATGGAGATGTTGATGCTATTGATCATCGGTTGATATGTTTGCGTTGTTGATACCGCGATCCGACGGTGCGTTGATGCTCCGAACTTGTATGTTGGAGAGACTGACTATCCGAACCACATGCCAGCTAACGGAATACTAATCGTCGGAGCCGAAACTCCTAAAAACTATTGTGCATTCGCCGTTTCACTGCGGCGACTCCGTTTCAACTCTACTACCTGCTTCCAAACAGCTGATGTTTTACAGAACCGGATTCTTGCTTCGAACTGATCAATAGAACTCGCGTGAGCTTTCCCCACGATCCCAACGGTGGAATGGACGAAACGAAACCCCACAACTGTTTCCTGGGGACTCTACGAACAATGCACCCGGCAACACCAGTTCCCTTCATCCGCACCATTGTGTTTAGCAACTTTTTTTCCCTATCAAAGATCAAAGGCGAGGATAACTCTGCTTGCTTTTAAACATCCCACCAAACGCACGTAGGCAACTTATCTGACTCATGATTTTTGATCCTTTGATAATACAACTATCCAAACCTATCTCATCATGTACTTTATCCTCGAGTAAACTTAAGTTATTATAATATAACATCTTCATCAGTATTAGCAATAACCAAGCAACAAATACTGCATCTTAAAATTAGGTACTTACCATCATAAAAAAACATCAACTTACAATAATAATTACAACATCTTAGAATATGATTATTCATCAACCATGTATTATCAACCTAATTTTGGTTTTAAATTTAAAACCAAAATTTCTTCATCATTACCTAACATACTTTCAAAAAATAGTTAAATTCACATTCAAATTTTGAACTATAATTTCTCTATTTAAACTAAAAAATTTTAAAATTACTCAACTATTTAATAGAAAAGTAATATTATCAAGAACACTAGTTATTTTATATCATCAAAATTCATGCACATAAAACAAACATTTTCTGTGGTAAAATACAATTTATAATTCACTTATGTCCCGTCATTATTCCTAATCTTGTTTGTTCTTCTCTCCTTTCCTTCGTAGCCCTACGGGAATTAGAAAGTGTGCATCCTCTTCTTCGCCGTCTTAAGCTCTCCTGGGATATATACAGATGTCACAGGAGCTTTTTCCAATTGGCATCTGAATTCCAGAGTGTTCAGCTTTTGTTTAACTTGATACGAAATTATTGACGACAGTAATATCTTGAGCGAAACATTTCTAAACCATTAATGTCAGTTAGTCTTAAAGATGTTTTATAATAACATAACAAGTAGTATAACGATCTTCATCTTTAGTTTATTAACTTTTCAAGAGCGGAATGATCAATAGTCAATAGCCTTTTGTAACTATTAATTATATTTTGGTTTTATATAACTGTTCTAATAATTATTATTAATATCATATCATATAATATTATTAAAAAAATAACATGAATTTTGACTCATATTTAGATGATAATTGGAAATACCTATTATATAAGTTTCTCACTATTAATAACTTCGTCATCTTATACACAAATAAATTAACATATTTTAAGATGTTAGTAATAGATTATATAATTTCATAAAAACTATATCTTTTATCGAATTATATAATTTCGTAATTAAGTAGTTTTATTAATAAAGTGTCATTAAAATCAAATTATATATGTTTCTTATTTAATTTTTATATGAGAATCAAAGTAATTATGGATTAAAAATTGAAATATCAATTTATAGACAACTGGTTTAACACTTATACTTATATAATGTATTTATTCGAGAGACATCTATGGCTAAGTAGCTGATTTATAGTTATTATATAAGTTTTTTTTATAATAGTAGCCTATACTTTAGTCTACTTTCAAAGTAAAATCGGGTACTTAGTAATCATTATAACCCTTCGTTGCTCGCCTGGCGTCTAAGAGTCGCAAACCAATCATAACTTTCAAAACTGGAAAGGCGGGGCAACGCCGACCTGTGTACTTTCTTCATATTGACTGTCTATTTCTAGTAATTAACAAATTATTATTAGTAGAGTCTATCAGACGCCACGCGTTATATTTTTCAATCGAGTAACCATAATATAGATATGCATCTTGCATAAGAATAACCTAAGTTCATAGGGTAGGCTAACCTTTTTTT